AGAACAAAGAACTTTTAGGTTCCCCATGAGACGAGAAGCGATAATTTTGGATAGGTACGAGAAAACTAACTATATAGCGAAATATGTTTTATGTTAACTTAAAGAACAACATAATACCTGACGTTATCTTTTCCCACTATAAGTCTGCTTTTTCTTTTCCTGGGAATACTGTTTCACATTGGTAAAAAAAATCGCGTCTAGTTTAAAGATTTTTTCTTTTTTGCCTGCATAAGATATACATTTTAGTAACCCTGTACTGAATTCTGCCTGGGGGTTATTGGTCTTGTGTCTTGAGAAGCCACTAGAGGCAGTTACAGCATGTCACAATGATTAACTTCACCATGATCTTATCGCAAGGAGGCATATTACTGCTTAACAAACATGTCAAGAACTGTCACCCCTTCAGAGATCACCACAATAAATCAACGGGTAGATATGATCTTTGTTAAAGACACAGAAATTTTGTATATCGTCTGTAAATTTTTTCTGATCCACTTTATACCAAGGTTGAAATAAGTGAGTTGAACCATTTCTTAAAGTCACAACATTTACCGCTATTATCTAGTCACTCATGTACACTACCTTTATACCTCATATACACTACCTTTATACCTCATATACACTACCTTTATACCTCATATACACTACCTTTATACCTCATACACTACCTTTTTACCTCATATACACTACCTTTATACCTCATACACTACCTTTATACCTCATACACTACCTTTTTACCTCATATACACTACCTTTATACCTCATATACACACCTTTATACCTCATACACACTACCTTTATACCTCATACACACTACCTTTTTACCTCATATACACTACCTTTATACCTCATACACACTACCTTTTTACCTCATATACACTACCTTTATACCTCATACACTATATTTTTACCTCATATACACTACCTAACCGCTTTACGTGATTGGTTTGTTTGTTTGTTTTGAATTTCGCGCAAAGCTACTCGAGAGCTATCTACGCTAGCCGTCCCTAATTTAGCAGTGTAAGACAAGAGGGAAGGCAGCTAGTCATCACCACCCACCGCCAACTCTTCGGCTACTCTTTTAGCAAAGAAAAGTGAGATTGACCGTCGCATTATAATGCACCCACGGCTGAAAAGGCAAGCATGTTCAGTGACCTATTATCAGGAATAGAGTATGTGGATAATGTAGAGCAAATCAGTGAGGTGTAAACATTTGTTTGTAATATAAACAACGGTATATCGGAGAAGTCCATCACATATATCAATGAGAGCTGTTGTTTACAATTTAGAAAAAACAAATACTATGAATGTTTGAATGAATGAAAGTTAGGCCTGTGTAGTCAGTCGTGTGCGTTTTCTTTCTCAAGGTCCTAGCTTATGTAGTCTTCATTGCAAAAGGCTTCGTTGTAAGGCTCTCACATCTAAAGCACACAACCCCTACTTGTGCTTTCCATAATCCTTCTAGTTTACGACAACGACGGTTTCCTAGCAACCATTTCAACAGTCCATCATAAAGAAATCCATAAGCGCTTCGTCTGGCCATTTCCCCAGTATGTATTCGTATGAAATGACATGAATAATGGTATAAATTCATCAGCTGCTTGAGGTTTGTGACGGTTGAATTAATATGTTCATGAAGTAGCTTCTGTGCACGTGACTAGTATGACTTTTCCGGAAGAAAATCTTTCTTCATTATGTTGGGTACTGTTGAATCCGACCTTTATGTTTGGGGATTCTCACCTCGCCTTTACAAGACACCGCACTTTGCTTATTACAACTAGAGTAAGACTTGTTGGAGGTCTCTTTCTGGATGGTGCTGGTGTCCGAAGTTGATCCACATTCCTTTGTTTTTTTACCACGACTTGATATAGGTTGTAGTTGTTACGTGACTTGCTGACTTGCATATTAAAAATCTTTTTTTATATAAGCAAAACTACACCGAAGATAAAAATGCGGTAAACAGATATTTTCAAGTTTGATTTTGGTTCTCAGGTCACTACTCACTTGGTGTAAGATTATACAATTTTTTCTTAATTTTATTTTGTTATATTTGCATTTCCAGTGGTTCGACCGTAAGTCTCTGACTTCGGATTTCGATACACGTGGGGAGCACAGCACAAATAGCCCGTTGTTTAGTTTTGTAATTGACAACGAACAAACTTTATTTGTATATTATATCTTGCCATTTTAACGAAGTGTCTTTAAAATGATATTGTGCAATGATATATGTAAGTAACCTGCATATATGATTATTTCAGCTTCGCGGTATTCTATTTTGTGTGTGATTCAAAAATTGGATTTAGGTAAATCAATTAAAAGAAAATAAAGTTTAATATTTTTATTTCCCTGTTAACATCATCCATGAACTGTACATATTAAAAGCTTTGATTTAACTGACAAGATTCAAGTTTTTTGGGAAAAGATAGATATTCTAAACTTTGATGACAGTATTTTTCACCCAAACAGAGTGATTTATTTTTAGCCGCGGCATAGCGGCTCATAAAACGGCTCTGAGTTTTTTTTTCTTTTCAAGTACAAACTTTTAGGTCATAGTTCCGCCATTTCTTGACAGATTTGAGATCTAGTTACAGTTTTGGACTTCGGAGGTCACACCCTTTCGATTGATCACATATTTGATCACGCCAAAGGTCTCATAGGCTGACGATAGGCTGTTCCAGATGCTGATGAGTAATAAAATTGAATCGGGTATACACGCGCACCACACTTGTATTGCTTGTTAGTGCACAAAAAAAAAGGTCTCATAGATTAACTTACTCTAATCCTGCCTAAAAGAATTTCAAGTGTCGAAGCTATTGAGAATTTCCTCTTGTTTAGCTATTACAATATAAGATATGAAGTAAACGATAGAACGTAATGAGTGTAAACAAGAAAACGTAATCAACAGCAACCGAGAATTTAAGTTATGAGTAATCAATTTAATTATCATAAAAAAACAACTCTGAATATGGAAAAATATAAATAAATTATATAAATACATTGTGTACAAACAGAAAAGATGCAGGCTAGAATATTCTGTTTAAGCACATACACAAAGTTAGCTAACAAAACTTATTAGTAAAAGCAGTTTATTCTGAGAAATTAATAAGTTGGAGAATATGAGACTGAAGTTAATTTTCCGGGCAGGCAGTCATAAGATATGTGTGCTAAATTTATCTCTTTCCTTAACTAAATTAGTTTAGTCTTACCTCCGCTGAGGATTTTCCTTTGAATGTGTATAAATGCCTGAATACTGGCAAGTAAAACACTGTAGAAGCTTGCTGAGAGAGGTTTTGAATAATATATCGTTTTACAGTTAATTTTAAAATTTTCTTTGAAAACTTTCTAGAATTCATGGATTTGTTTTTGACATTTAAAGACACATTTAGTTCAGGAACGTTGTCTTAAAGATTGAAATACTAATATAACGTCTCGAACACATTTAGTTCAGGAACGTTGTCTTAAAGTTTTAAATACTTATATAACGTCTCGAACACATTTAGTTCAGGAACGTTGTCTTAAAGATTGAAATACTAATATAACGTCTCGAACACACTTAGTTCAGGAACGTTGTCTTAAAGTTTGAAATACTTATATAACGTCTTGAACACATTTAGTTCAGGAACGTTGTCTTAAAGATTGAAATACTAATATAACGTCTCGAACACACTTAGTTCAGGAACGTTGTCTTAAAGTTTGAAATACTAATATAACGTCTCGAACACACTTAGTTCAGGAACGTTGTCTTAAAGATTGAAATACTTATATAACGTCTCAAACACACTTAGTTCAGGAACGTTGTCTTAAAGTTTGAAATACTAATATAACGTCTCGAACACACTTAGTTCAGGAACGTTGTCTTAAAGTTTGAAATACTTATATAACGTCTCGAACACATTTAGTTCAGGAACGTTGTCTTAAAGATTGAAATACTAATATAACGTCTCGAACACATTTAGTTCAAGAACGTTGTCTTAAAGTTTGAAATACTTATATAACGTCTCGAACACATTTAGTTCAGGAACGTTGTCTTAAAGTTTGAAATACTTATATAACGTCTCGAACACATTTAGTTCAGGAACGTTGTCTTAAAGATTGAAATACTAATATAACGTCTCGAACACATTTAAGAGTAAAAACTTTAAGGCATCAGTTTCTACAGGAGCTTTATTTCCATTATGACATCAACAAAGAAATAGATAAATGCCATTACATGAGTGTTAAACACCTTATGCCTTTTATTTCGGTATCTATTCTAAGTTTCCAATGTACAAGCAATACACGAAACGTAATCTTCATGTACTCATCTTAATCAGTAGATATTTTAAGTTCTAAAATTAACCTTACGCGGAAGAAGCTTATTAGTCAATAGTTTGAATAAAATAGTTCGTTACGTGAACAAGAGTTCCTGTAGTGTTATATTATCTACAACTTTGGTTTTGAAATTAATTGGATCATTAATTGTCTCTAACATGGTGTGTGTTTTTTCCTGCTTGCAGTGGAAAGGAATGAAGCAGTTGTGCACTGTGATGAACAACGGAAACGGTTTTCCAGCCCCATCTTCTGGTGTTTCTTGGCACTAAAGATTTTTAAATCCTGCAATCGAAAAACTTATTTGCAGCGAGCCTTTTCTGCGGAATGATAATAATCTCATCAAAAAATAAAATACGTCCTGCCTTTTTCATAGTTACGATCTCCTAAGCATAATTCATCCTGATAACCTTTGTTAGATGACGAAGAAATAAAGTAACCCGATTTCTTGAAATAATAAGACATTTGAATAATAAGACCATTGCTATTTTCTACACATCATCCGCCAGATGGTTCTTTTTACACTATTAAATGTATTTGTATGGGTTCGAATAGTTTAGTCACAAATTTTATTTCTATGGCTCTCGTAGAAAGTTATTGCAAAGTCTATAATGTAGCGTTCAATCTATCAAATCCATAAAATAATTAACTGACTAACTGATTAACTGACTACTAACTGATTAACTGACTACTAATAATATTAGACTTTTAATCACCAAAAATGAATTATCATAATTAATTTAGTTTTTCTTTTAACTGAGTCGTTAAATTTATGGTATAGTTCAACGATCAAACAATCAATTCGGGAACTGCAAAACAAAACCATCACGGTTATATTTGTAAAAAAAAAAGGGCTTACACTTTTGTTTCACACGCCATATTTTTACATCTTAATTTCTCTGTTAAACTTCTATTTATGTCTAAATTACATTTGACAGCGTTCGAAATACGGACTCACGCATAAAACTAAAGAGGCCAACATTGGCGAATGCAACATGTCTCCGCCACACATTCTCAACTTGACGAGTTTTGACAGAAGAAATATCGTGAAAAACACACAGAAAAATCAAAAACTGTCTATATATATCTCTGTTTTGGACCTGCAAGAAAGTATCTTTGTGCCAAATCCCATGTACATTGGCCGACCCACGGTGGAGTAATGGTCAAAAAATCCTAAAGTTATGCTTTTTATGGCATCTTAGATGCTATAATTACTAAAAATGAGTAACTCCAACATTTTTGTTTGTCAATGTGTATTGCCTGTAGAAAAGTATCTTTGTATCAAATTCCATATAAATTGGTCTAAACAAGGCTAAGTAACTGAAGAAAACTCCTGAAATTATGAGTTTATTTAACCTTTTGACCCCTAAAAAAAGGACCATAAATTGGCAAGTCCACTATTTTTGTTTGTCAGTGCGTGAAACTTGTAGAAAAGTATCCTTGAACCAAATCACATGTGAATTGGTCACAATACGGCCGAGTAATTGATTAAAACACTCAAAATTACGCATTTTGGTGAGTTATGACCCCTGGTGAGTTCTGACCCCTGAAAAATTCAATTTGAGCAAATTTACTTTTTTTAGCATGACCATGTGTTAGGAGCAATACAATTTATATTTGCTAATTTTCATCTTGATTGCTGAAAATTTGACCACACAGGAGCTCAAAATATAAATTTTTGAGGTTGTTTTACCTTTGTCCAAATAAAATCCTTACAAAGTTCTAAATAAAAAAAAACAATGAAAAACATATCTGGGAGTTTCAAACAATCCACCAAGAAATGAAGGAATGGTGGTCGATTGAGAAGTGTTTGGAAGAAGAAACAGAAAAAGGATCCGGATATTTCGTTACCGCCATATTGATACTAGGAGAACTCGTGAGGGATGCATTCTTGTTACTTCCTTTTTGTAAAATGGCAGTTTTTGTGACGAATAATGATTTTGTGACAGGTAGTTTTTAAATATAAAATTGATTGGCGACAAAAATAGATGATGTACAATCATTTGGGGACCATTCAAAAATGGCATATAGTTATGGGGTGAGAGGGTGTCTAAGCCTAAATTACGATGTGTTACAGGGGATAGGGGGTGTCATGAACAGTGTTACATTAAACATAAATTACATTGAAAACGATTTAGGTCTACAAAAACATGTATTGTAATTTAATATACTTTGACTTAAATTCAAAACACCTAGCTTGAACATTTCCAGAAATAACATATGTACCATTTTTGTATAGTAACTTGTTTAGTCAGATATTACACGTATACTAAAGTATTTACTTGTGAAACTTGACAACTTTTGATCCCCCTCAGAGAGCGAGGGGAGAGGTGGTATCCCCCGCTACTTGAATTAAGTAGTGGCAACAAAGTTCACCAATCACAAAAAAACACTTATAACGAAACTTATATATAACGATTTGACCGTAACTTGGATGACTTAACGAAACGTCCCAGAATGCTTCATGATAAAAAAAAAATAACATCAAGAAAATGAATGAGCCCATCCAGTACTTCTTTAAAAGTTTGTTTTTGGGGCAAAGCTACACAATAAAATATTTGTCCATAGTGAGAAGTGAGCCCCGGATTTTAGCATTGTAAGTATGTGGATCTTTTTCCCTGTTTATTATTTATTTCTTCCTGTTATTTAATAATTTGTATAAACGAACGTCATCGTATCCTAATAAGGAAAAATAAAAAATCCATTTTTCAAGTATCTATACGGAACAAAAAACTTAATTCTTTATATTCGAAAATATATATTTTTCTGTGCATTGTTTCGTGGATTAAATTTCATTATTCAATGACGTGTTCTTCAACTACAAAAATTAATCTGTATAAAGCCTAAATGACGATAGTGAGATGTTAATTACCAGCTGAAACTAAATATGTGGAGATATAATAAACGATATTAAAATTGAATTACAATAAAACATTCAAATACATACTTGCGAAACCACACAAGAAGGCTTCAAAGTTTAAAACCAGAACAAAACACTCTTATTAAAATATATTAAACAGCTTATAAAATGATGAAAAATATTGAAAAGCGTATATCTTATCGTCTTTTCTATTTTTCTCGTCATTCACATTATTTTGATTGGCTACCAAGAAAAGAAAGGTTAAGAGGAAATACATTTAGCAAGTACCTGGTTGATATTACTTTTACTTACACCTTTTTGTTTTTATTATTTCTGCGTCTATAAAGGAATAATGTGTAGCTCATACAATACAGTCAGTGTATTTTTATATATCGACTTTATAATTCAAGCATAGTTAAAATACAACTCCATAACATTAGCAATAAATATTGGCGTAGGGAAGAATAATATATTGCTTTAAAATTCTATGAACTAACACGAAATAAGTGTCTACAAAGTTAGAAACAAGATTTCAAAACTAAGAAATGAATGAACATATCGCACCACGAAGTCTTTGGCAAGGCCCACGTAGACGGACATGCTAACCACTAAGCAAGGCCCACGTAGACACGCACGCTTACCCCTAGAATAAGCCCACGTAGACACACATGATAACCACTAGGCAAGGCCCACGTAGATTGACATGCTAACCACTAGGCAAGGCCCACGTACACACGCACGCTAACCACTAAGCAAGACCAACGTAGACACGCACGCTAACCACTAAGCAAGGCCCACGTAGACGGACATGCTAACCACTAAGCAAGACCAACGTAGACACGCACGCTTACCCCTAGGATAAGCCCACGTAGACACACATGATAAACAGTAGGCAAGGCCCACGTAGATTGACATGCTAACCACTAGGTAAGGACCACGTAGATTGACATGCTAACCACTAGGTAAGACTCACGAAGATTGACATGCTAACCACTAGGTAAGACTCACGTAGATTGACATGCTAACCACTAGGTAAGACCCACGTAGATTGACATGCTGAACACAAGGAAAGACCCACTTAGATTGACATGCTAACCACTAGGTACGGACCACTTAGATTGAAATGCTAACCACTAGGTAAGGACCACGTAGATTGACATGCTAACCACTAGGTAAGGACCACTTAGATTGACATGCTAACCACTAGGTAAGGACCACGTAGATTGACATGCTAACCACTAGGTAAGGCCCACGTTGATTGACATGCTAACCACTAGGTAAGGACCACTTAGATTGACATGCTAACCACTAGGTAAGGACCACTTAGATTGACATGCTAACCACTAGGTAAGGACCACGTAGATTGACATGCTAACCAATAGATAAGGACCACGTAGATTGACATGCTAACCACTAGGTAAGGACCACGTAGATTGACATGCTAACCACTAGGTAAGGACCACGTAGATTGACATGCTAACCACTAGGTAAGGACCACGTAGATTGACATGCTAACCACTAGGTAAGGACCAGTCCCAATAAAAAATAAAAGTTTGCTCGATATTTGTTGTTAAAGAAGAGGTAAACTAGTTGTGTGACCTGACTTCACCAAGAGGTAACTTTTAATTTAAAATAAGTGTCATTTAATTTACAAGATAATTGGGATAAAATTGATAAATAAACGTATCCAAGTTACTTTAAACATAGAACACAATTTTAATTAGAAATATATTACATAAACATTCAGTAGAGTAATGATGTACGTTACGTAGTAGGAAAAGTTGTTTAAACACATATTAGAAAAAGAGGCGTTTTTTTAACTGTTCATTTTATTTTTTGAACATTTTTCACGGTCCTTAGATATTGTGTAGCATTTTTATGTAAATCGTAGCGTAATTAGCAGATCATAAATTTAGAATTAAAATCAGTTTATAAAATCAATTTTGGGTAAAATCCACAATTAACGCTTTTGTTTAACTCTCATTTTTTGTGTTGTTGTTGGTTGTAATGTTGTATTTCTTAGATGAGAAAGTGTGAAAGCATTGTTATTAACGACAATCTAAACATATGAAGTTATTTCTACAACATATAAGGAATAAATAACTATCTATTTCTGAATGATAACAGCTTTTACGTTTGTTGAAGACCGCGATAATTATGATATTTTACTGAAAACTTGGCCGAAACAAATTAAGAAACATACAATCGAAAAAGTGCATAAAGCAAAATAGTAATTATTAGTAAACGGTTTAGCTACATTAGTCTAGCTGACTCCAATCGGATACCAGGAATCATTGAAAGAGTATGTGATGAACAGAAGAAACGAAAGAAAGGAACATGCCATGCTGGAATCTAAGTTTCAAATGGACAGCAACTGCCTGTTGTAGTAACCTA